GGCTTTTTTTCTTCAAGTCAAAGAATCACAGTACAAGCTGAACTCCACATGACGAGTTTAAAGTGCACTACGCACTACAGCCCAAAGGTCTCGAATCATCCTCTTTTTGTTAGATATTACTTCCAGACAGCCAGAACTTCTTGTAACATTTTAAAGTGGTCTTAATCAAATGTTCCTTGTGCTTTCTGGAGTCTTACGGACTGAACTTTGAATAAGGGGTGGGGGAAGTCGATGTTCTTCCCCCACATAAAACTTTTGAAAACCCAAAGAACTCTAAAATTATCAGAATTGTTTGGCTCCATGAATGCATTCTATTTTTCGGCTTATAAGGCACACTTAAAATCCTTAAATTTTCTCAAAAATCAACAGCACGCCTTATAATCTGGTGTGCCTTAAGTATTAATTCTGGTTAGTTTACTGTCCTCAAACAGATTTTATGCGCACAAAAATGTCAAAATGTGCCTTATAATCTGGTGCGTCTTAGAGTCCAAAAAATATGGTAATCTAAAGAAATAAAGGTTGATATGTACTTTTGTACACTAATTTATATTTGATGTTTTGAACTTTTTACTAGCTTTACATAATTAGAAAAATATTTTGTAAAAACTACTTTTGAATTTCCTGAATCACTGCTTAGCATTAAATTTTAGAACTATTCAATCAGTTTGAATAGGATTGTATACCTGGATTATTGAACATGGACTTTGTTGGTTTTGAACCAGTTTGACATGACTGTCGACGAGGAAGAGGACCGGCACCAGAGGAGGAGGCGTGCCAAAGTGACCGTCTTAGAACCAACATAACTGGTTTGTTCCACTTTGGAGTAAGCTGTTGGGGGAATAATCAGTTTTGTGTTGTGCGTTTCCTTGACTGATGAAGCCTTCTGGATGGAAGGTGAAACATTTCAGCACCAAAAAAAATAAAAAAAGAAAGAAAGTGTCCAGATGATCTGACTGAATTTTTTTTGGAGTTTCAGTAGTGTTTTACTGTCAGTGAATACATTGATTAACTATATGTACACACACACACACACACACACACATATATATATATATATATATATATATATATATATATATATATATATAGTGATATAATTACTCTTCATGCTCTCGGATATGTTTGTAAATTTGGTACCTGATGACACAAAATCTTGGATTTGGACTTTTAGCAAGACTGCTGCAGAAAAGTGTGATGTTTGTACAGGTCACTGACCAATCAGAACTTTTCAGGAAGTGAGGGAGACATTTTTTCCTAAATTTGGTCTGACCCTAAATATGCAGAAACAGCCATTCGTTGGTCAATTGATATAAAATTAGTTATCAAAGTTGCAAATAAATATGTTCACAGAAGTACAACTTGTTCTCTTGCAATATTTAGGTTGTTAAATATTAACTTTAAATTTTATGGAAATCATGTTCTAAAGCTGATGCTGACAAAAGTGATGTGCTTCATCACATGGCTGCATCACATCCTGTCAGGCTCAAAGGAAAAAAAAAAAAAACTTTCTCTCAACTCGTCAGGAAACATCCTCATCCGTCCTGCACTCCTCCAACTTATAGGTATTTATTTTTCGAAAGAGGGGGAGGCGAGGGGAAGTGGGAGTCTTGTCACATTACATGTACCTGTCTGTGTGCGTCTTCACTTGCAGCTGTCATCCCACCTGACAGGTCTATCAGTGTCCGCCGCTGATGGGAACGCGTCCCTCAGCCTGACAGGCTGAACCGACAGCGCCGCAATCCAGACTGACAGCTCCTCAGGTAGCTGGCGGAGGACGGAGGGGTGGAAATAAGGGGGGGAGGGGGGCGGATAGAGGAAAGGCCACAAAGCAAAAGGAGTAAATTAGAGCGAGTAAACACCTTGAACTAATCCAAGCTGCATGACTGATCTTAATTCTAATTTCACAAAATCATCTGATAATGAAGCAATTCTGAGATCACGCTTTGCAAACGAGAGCCAAACCTCCCCGGTTAAAACTCTATTATAGCTCAGGGTGTAGAGGAAACACCGCTGCCAGTTTGAGTATTTTTAAGCAAAATGAATCTCATCTTCTATGACAATCGTGCACGTTGAAGCAAAGCCAAGCAGCTTTCTTAAGGAGCACCAGGAGCTGCATTCCAGGAGGAAAAAAATAAAACACCTGCGGGATGTGCTTTAGTTAAGGTTTAAATCAAGTTTCCATGATTGCACCCAGAGGGGCGAATAAGGAGGACTCCTCCCTACTTTGACAAAATATTTCTCTTTATGTTGTCAAAAGCGATCAAAAACCGGCTCACCAGAACACCCTGAACACAAGACAAAAACTGGAAAACCTACAAGCTCCTGGGCGAAACCCCATCTGATCAGCTTAGCTACGCTCTCCTGGCTTCTCGTGTACGACGAGTAATTAGCAATTAACAATCAGGGTTTAACTAGATCCAGTTATGATGTGAAGGTTTGGGTGGGGAGGGCGCTGCCTCTTTGACACAGGACTGAAATGTTGAGACCTGAGTAGTACTTCTCTCATTTCCACAACATCATCTTTTTTTTCCCCTCTTTGAATTCCCAGATCAAACAGGCTGTAACAAAAGACCCCAAATCCCCCTTCGCTCCCCTCCTTCTGCTCTCTTTCCAAAATTAGTTAAGCCTTTCAGCTTCATCATCTTCAACATGGCTCACGTCAACAACCCTCGGAAATCCATCCCTTCCCTCCGAACACGATGAAAACGAGGACGAAGAGGTAAAAACACACACACCTCCACATGTCACTCTGAATTTGGAAAGGACCCCACAGCGGCTCGTTCCTGAGTGAATATGCTCAACCAAAAGGCTACAGTGAAAATAAATAAAGGTGCAAGAACTGATTCAGGTGAGGTTGACAGATTGGACGATTCAGACGCAGTGACGGCAAAGGGAAGTAAACAAACTCCAATAAATGCGCCTTCACCGCCTGCTGACATATTCAGGCCTTTTGGATGCTCCTTGTTTCCCTCCGATTACCTCGTCCTTGCAACTGTTTGTCATCTCAACAAGGGCGACGTAGGATTTTCAATCACACGCATCCCCAGCTTTTCTGTTGCGTTCACTCCCTTTCCTTGGTACTTTGACCGCCCCCGACTTCGTTTTCTGCTCCTCAAAAGTTTTCGACGACTCCTTTGACTTTTGGGATAAAGCGTGAAGCCGAACGAAGGGTTGTTTGCCCGGGAAGGTGCTTGTTGCTTGGCTTTAAATGATCCTGTTTCACACACTTGTCATTTCTCCAGGCTGGCAGGTCCTTAGTGCTTCCAAGCTACATGCTAATAGGGTTGTCACCAGAGCAGTTAATGTTAATCTAATGCTCCTTCAAGTTGAAGGCACCTACTTCTGAACATTCGCCACCAGGAATGCTTTCAGTCTTTTAACCTCAAGCCAAGAAATTGGCTAAAAGCAGAAACGCCACTTGATTGCCCATTCAACCTGAGGGTAAATCACCATCACAGTCCCATTTGTCGCTTGGATCTGGCAACACACAAAAAAGCCTCATCAATTTAATCATTCCATGTCCGAAGATTCCAAACCAATTTTTCCAGCCTGTAATTATTCCACCCGACTGCTGTTGAGATCTCTCAAAGACGTGCGGATTAGTGGATTTGGAGTATTAGCCGGGAGGGTTGGCAGACCTCTGCACTGTGATTCAGGGAGCGGAGAAATACGTCTTCAAAAGGTACCTATTAAGAGCGGATAAATTCCACGTTAAGTTGCTTAAATCGTGTAAAGGTGAGCTCTGTTAGGTTCAGACTTTTTTTTTTAACAGATGTGACTTTGTCACACGGTTTAAGCCACTTTGGGGGAGAATTGTTTACAAGTTTCTTAAAGGGCTTATGTCAGCTCTGGTTAACTTCAAGGAAACTTCAGTCTGCTCTAATTGACATTCCAAGTTAGTGAACTTTACCTTTTGCAATGCATTCAAGGGGATGATTTAGAACACAAGCTGATGATTCAGTCACTCTCTGTGTTTTAACTGATGATGGGCAACATATTTTACACGTCTGGGTCCGCACACTCCAATAAACACGTCCATAGAGAATCAATTGGTACCTTTTGAGCTCGGAGTTGTGATGCCTGCAGCCCACTGTCAACTTCAACTATTCTTTACTTGAGCTTGTTAAAGATGCTGCTACCCCTCCACTGAACTTGCCCCATCGCACCCCAACCCCCCAATAAAACAAAGAGCAGCTTGTCCTGCGGCTGACAGCCGAGATGTTCTCAAAGCAGGTCGGGAAAGGTTAGAGCGACAAACAAGGAGCGGGGCAGTGAAAAAGACAAAAAGAATCTTGCGTTTTAATTATTTTATTAAGAGCCTTGATGCTATTTAATGCCCTAGAAACATTCACCCTATAGTTCTCAATTAGACTTGACAGTTGCTGCTTTACCGACAATAAATATAGCAGAGGGCTGCGCCTTAGGCCAGGAAAGACCCCAAACTACGAGCTTCATATTTAATGATGAAAACAAGGGAGCACACACACATGTAAGTGCACACACACACACACCGTTTTTTCTATATTACACAGTCACACTGATGTCCTGTTTGAGCAAATGGCTTCACTAAGCTTTAAAATGCATCAGACATAAAAGTGTTTGTACAAAAATACATTTTTGGAAAGTATTTGAAAATCTACAAACACATATTAAAGTGAAAATAACATAAAATAAAATGTTTGTTTTTTTTCAGATTTGTTTGTCTCTCTCCAACTTACCACCAGACTGGATGAAATTTGGCTCAGAAATGTATCCAGAAAAGACAAATTTGGGACAGAATTAGGAAAAAACAAGTTTTACTGTAAAGACATTTTGAACAAACACATTTGTCAGTGACTTACATCAATATGCCCGTTAAAGACTTGACAGATTTTAAGAATGGAAACAACAATTTAACAGTTCAAAATCAAATTATAGATAGTTTTAACATATAGAGTGAAGCAAAACTTAAAAGATTGTGAGCAACAAAAAATAAAGCAGTACATAAAGATTCTTCCTTCAGCTCTTTTTGATGAAAACAGTATAAATCCTTGTGTGAAGTCGGCAGAAGCACAACTAAAACATTTTTACTATAAGGATGTACAATTTGTCACAATAAGTCCCTCTCAGAGTTTTCAAAATAAAAGCTTTTACAGTGCTACAAAGGTCAATTACCAAGGTTGATGTTCACGGTCTGGACTGGAAAGTCAAAGAGAAAAGTGGCCTCTCCCAACAAACTGTGCATGTCTTTGTTTTTAGACACACACAAGGCCGTACACACACACACACACACACACACACATTCGCATAATACGCAGAAATTTCCAGATATGAAGTGAGAAGGAACATTAGAGCTTTCCATTGGTGAAGGCTGCCTCTTGAAACTGAGGGATGAAGCTCTTGAAGTGTGCCCTGAATAAAATAAAAAATAATAAAATCTGAATTAAATAGTGTTTAAAACACTTGACAAAAAACAGTAGTCTGTAAAGAGTTCATAAAATTCAAATATGTTTAATTCCACAGTCCTATGAGTGACACGCTTGACATACTTTGCTCTTTTGGCCATCTCGTTGCCGTCCCAGCGTGGGCTGTAAGGATACGACGTCTGCACTTGAGAATAAAGCTGTCCGCTGTTGGTGAAGTGGTACACAGACTGGAAGGTGAGAGTCGGCTGATCCCTGGGAAAGTACAGTGGGAGATCCACTACAAAGTGCACAGGAACAAGAAGACAAATGCGGAAAACAGCGGGTCAAAATAAATCTAAGCAACTTGTAAAATAACATCTGTGCCTCACCTACCATGAACCAGGAAGCAGAAATCTTTCCACATAAGTAAAAGAGTGAGTTTTGTGAATCCTTCTGCATCATACTCCACTACCCCCCTGCACATCACAAACACAGAGTATCACTATGACTCAGCTTCATTAATGAGTGATAATTTGGACTGTAATAGCTGACTTACGTTCCAAAGTGGCTGAGAAAAGCAGCAATGTACTCCCTCCTCTTGTGATAACCTTGGATGACATATTGCACCTAGCCAGAACAAAGTGAAAGTGAGAGAACAGGTGAATATTTTGAAATTGAATCACATTCAGTAGAAGAGGTTTGTTGTTAAATAAGACTAATTTTACTATTGACAAGTGAGTCACCAGCCTCTAATTTGTTCAGATAGATGTGTTAGCTTACGTTAGAGATGTGCTTAAACAACACTTCCTGCCTCGTGTCATGTTAACAACTCTTCCAAGTTGAGTAAGGGTGAGAGGAAAAAAATGGCAAAAATTGGTTATTTTTCGTATGATACAAATAAATGATGCACAACCATTGACATTTTAAATGTACTGTAGGTGCAGATTTCCCTAGTTCCAATGTGGCTACTTAAACCTTAAATTGCTGTGCAAAAAAAAAAAAAAAAAAAACATGCATCAAAAGGATTTTATGTGCATAGACAAATTATTTTTCCCTGATATTTTATATTGACAGACTAAAAATGGAGTTGCTTTAGTGTTTTTTTTTTTTTTTTTGGTTATCACGAACGTAGTGGAAACTTTTACAAGCAAAATAGCTACACATTGATTTTAAACCTGGAAAAAGATCCCCAGAGAGACTGTTTTATAGTCAATGAACCTCTAGACCTTTTTTTATGTGTTGCACAGCAAACTGTCTAAATAAAATAAAAAGTGCCACAGCACGATAGTTTGATGCACACAATAATAATAATAATAATATAAAAAATTGGGATGAAGACTAGTTGACTAGTCAATTCTAGGACATCTCGCGAGTTTTTAAATTTCACATCAACTAGTCGCAGTCACCACTGCCCGCCCCGCTGTTTAGAGCTATCATTTCTAACCTGGGCCCGGCCCAGCCTGAGCCAAAATAATGTGCTGGATGGGTGGACCAGGTTGGTGTCGGGCTTTTGATTACGTCAGCGGATGCGTGCGGCTGACGATCCAATTATATAGCAACGTGGCTTGCCATACATAAAAATATATAAAACTTTATTTTTTTGTGAAGAATCAACAACAAGTGGGACACAATCGTGAAGTGGAATGAAATTTATTGGATGTGTCAAACTTTTTTAACAAATAAAAAACTGAAAAGTGGGGCGTGCAATATTATTTGGCCCCCTTGCATTAATACTTTGTAGCGACACCTTTTGCTGCAGTTCCAGCTGCAAGTCTCTTGGGGTATGTCTCTATCAGTTTTGCACATGAGAGACTGAAATTCTTGCCCATTCTTCCTTGCAAAACAGCTCGAGCTCAGTGAGGTTGTATGGAGCGCGTTTGTGAACAGCAGTCTTCAGCTCTTTCCACAGATTCTCGATTGGATTCAGGTCTGGACTTTGACTTGGCCATTCCAACACCTGGATACATTTATTTGTGAACCATTCCATTGTAGATGTGGCTTTATGTTTTGGATCATTGTCTTGTTGGAAGATAAATCTCCGTCCCAGTCTCAGGTCTCTTGCAGACTCAAACAGGTTTTCTTCCAGAATGGTCCTGTATTTGGCCCCATCCATCTTCCCATCAATTCTGACCATCTTCCTGTCCCTGCTGACGAAAAGCAGGCCCAAACCATGATGCTGCCACCACCATGTTTGACAGTGGGGATGGTGTGTTCAGGGTGATGAGCTGTGTTGGTTTTACGCCAAACATATCGTTTTGCATTGTGGCCAAACAGTTCGATTTTGGTTTCATCTGATCAGAGCACCTTCTTCCACATATTTGGTGTGTCTCCCAGGTGCTTGTGACAAACTTTAAACAACACTTTTTATGGATATCTTTGAGAAATGTCTTTCTTCTTGCCACCCTTCCATAAAGGCCAGATTTGTGCAGTGTACGAATGCTTGTTGTCCTATGGACAGACTCTCCCACCTCAGCTGTAGATCTCTGCAGTTCATCCAGAGTGATCATGGGCCTCTTGGCTGCATCTCTGATCAGTCTTCTCCTTGTTCGAGATTAAAGTTTAGAGGGATGGCCGGGTCTTGGTAGATTTGCAGTGGCCTGATACTCCTTCCATTTCAATATGATTGCTTGCACAGTGCTCCTTGGGATGTTTAAAGCTTGGGATATCTTTTTGTATCCAAATCCGGCTTTAAACTTCTCCACAACAGAATCTCAGACCTGCCTGGTGTGTTCCTTGGTCTTCATGATGCTCTCTGCGCTTTGAACAGAACCTTGAGACTATCACAGAGCAGGTGCATTTATACGGAGACTCGATTACACACAGGTAGATTCTATTTATCATCATCAGTCATTTGGGACAACATTGGATCATTCATAGATCCTCACTGAACTTCTGGAGTGAGTTTGCTGCACTGAAAGTAAAGGGGCCCAATAATATTGCACGCCCCACTTTTCAGTTTTTTATTTGTTAAAAAAGTTTGACACATCCAATAAATTTCATTCTACTTCACAATTGTGTCCCACTTGTTGTTGATTCTTCACAAAAAATCTAAATTTTATACATTTATGTTTGAAGCCTGAAATGTGGCAAAAGGTTGAAAAGTTCAAGGAGGCCGAATACTTTCGCATATATATTTATATAAATATAAACACACATTAGAATGACAGCTGGAAGAATTGACATAATGCATATGTTTGAGGTAAAATATGCTAATTTATGTCTTAAAAAATATTTAAGCTTTTAATGTAAAAATGGGCGACATGGTGGCACAGTTGGAAGAGCTGCCGGCTCTCAGTGAACAGGTCGCCGAATCGAATCCCATCCGGGGGCCTGTCTGGGTAGAGTTTGCATGTTCTCTCCATTCATCCGTGGGTTTTCTCCATGTACTCCAGTTTCCTCCCACAGGCCAAAAACATGCATGTTAGGCTGATTGGTAACTCTAAATTGTCCCTAGGTGTGAGTGCGAGAGTGAATGGTTGTTTGTCTCATTTGTCTCTATGTGTCCCTGTGATGGACATGTGACTTGTCTAGAGTGTCCCATGCTTCTCACACAGAGACTGCTGGATATGGGCATCAGTGACTCCCACAATCCAAAAAGGAAGAAGTGGGTAAACTATAATGGATGGATGGATGGATGTGCTAATTATCTGTAGATAAGTGTGTTTAAGAAACATTAGGTCACTGCAAAGTTAATCTTTTAATATAACACAGCCAACATATTTATGATCTGTATAAAGTATGTATTCAGTGTTTGATTCATCTTGAGCCAGCATCTATCATCACTGAGCTGCAGTTGGATTTGCCACTCCTAACTGCACATTTTTTTGAATACATATCAACCTTGTGTGAATGATAGTGTTTTGTAAAAAGGAAAGTGGTAATCTCTGACACAATTGGCCATTTGATGGGTCTCATTTCTACAAGAACTCTCAAACACAGACAGCCATTGTGACTCAGGCTTCTGTTCTTTTTTGTTCACACTAAACAGCGGAGGCGGCAATGTTGCTTTTTGAAAAGCTGCAAGGCCACATACTCTACAAGCTATTTATTTAATTACACTCTGTTTGTGTGTTAAAGGAACTAAGGATCACTGAACTTTCACACCCATACCATAAATGGACTTCCTGCCTCTGCTATCAATGTGCCCAGTCCTCCTATTGGCTGCCTAGAGCTTTAAATGATGCAAGACAGGTGATCTTGCTCTGCAGGTATTCAAACCTGCCCGCACCCATGACTCCTGCCTGCACACCCAATTATTGCGTTTTTACATGTGTGTGTGCGTGCGGAACGTGATGCAACAACGCCAGTAGTCCTGACTGCAATGTGATTAAAGATCTCTGTCACATTAACACCACCCCCGGCTCTCATATCATAAAGTGTGACTGATCTCATATCTGATTTTATATAAATTTTTTTTCATTTAGCCTTTATTTATCCAGGTTAGTCTCATTGAGCCACGAGAACTCATTTTCAAGAGAGACCTGTTTAGGGAGCACATGGTGGGGGTTAAGGGCCTTGCTCATGGGCCCAGAGTGGGGCGAATGAGGGTGGGGGCAAGTGTGGGTGTTTCACCTACCCCACCCACAATTTTGATGTTGTCGGGGCCGGGGCGTGAACCGGCGATCTTCGGATCACAAGCCCACCTCTCTAACCTCTGCGCCACCACTCCCCAATGGATGATGTTTGGTTGTCTGAGCACATCTATCTACAGTCTGCAGCAAAATTAGACATCAAAGGAAACACACA